TCTTCTAGATACATATCAAGCTCAGATTTCACACGAGTTACCGATGTCTCCCCACTAAAAACATTTAACAAAAGTTCAGATAAACCACTAGATCCATCATTTTCTTCACGAGTATTTGATCTAAATTCACATTCTCCACTTTCATCCTCAATAGAAGAAGAATACATCACCTCTTTGACTTTACTGATATTATCTCGAGCTACACTTAAAGGAAACATTTTAGGCCATGCAATCTCTATAGCCTCATTTTCAATCTAGGGTCTAACACGGTCCCTGTTGACATTAGCATGTTACATTTCCCCCAATATTTATCAAATCTCTCTTTCATGTAGTTTACCATACTTTTAACTAAATCATCATTCGACTGAGATTGTTTATCCAACATAACTTTAATCCTATGTACTTTAGCAAGAAACAAGTTAGAAGTTGGATATTTAGAACTAGAGAGAGGAAAGAGATTCTAAAAAGACTAATTTACCCCAATATATTACCAGTAAATTTAAATTATTTGAAAATTAATGAATTAGTACCAAAATTAATATGTTAATAATAACCATTGATTATTAATAATGTGTCGTTGAGATTGGATCTCACAGTTATCACAAACAATCGAGTTCTCCCTTGATTGGACCCCTATATATATATATATATATATATATATATATATATATATTAAAAAGAGTTAAGAGAAGAAAGATTTTTGTGTGTCTTGGGTTTGAAGAAATAGAAGCAAAAAAAAGAAGAAATTGATTACGTATTTTATCTGATAATTTGTTGTTGTTTAAAGTTATCATCTTCTTGTGTTAACAAGGTGAGTTTTATTTCAAAGCTTTATTTCAAATAATTTGTATGGAACTGTATGGGTTCATACTTGGATGTTTTTTAGTATGAGTATATGATATTTGAAGCATAATATTGGGATTTGATATGTTATTATCAACGATTGTAATAAGGGTGACATAATCAGGAACTGAGTATATTTGGTAATAAGGGTGACAAAATCAGGAGTTGTGTATATTTTGTAATAAGTGTGACATAATCAGGAGCTTGGTACACTGGGATAAGGGTGACATAACCAATTGCTAGAAATTATGATCTTTTGATCATGGTTATTGTTATCGCATCTTTATGATACAATGGAATCGTTTTTATTGCATGTGCCTGATGCGATGAAAGTGAAATGGATTCAAAGTGTTATAATTATCGCATCCATGGGGTGCGACAAAGCGAGGTTATCACATCCGAATAGTACAAGGAAATTGTGGTAATAACATCAATGTGATGAGACAAAGAGGGATGCTCGCATCAATACCCTTCCAATATTTCAAGACATCTCACATTCTTTCATATACTTAACTATCTCTTTCAATATTTCAATTTATCATCAATGTGGGATAAATAAGACTCAACTGTAATTCATTATTTGAGAAAATTCTAAATTCTCATTATATCATGTCAATACCTGTAAGCCAACACTTCTTTCATATTGATTTTTGTTGTATTTATATTTATATTCATGATTGTATTGATTCGATTATAATGAATATTTTACATTACAAATCAAAAGTGAAAGATGTTACTTTTTAATAAATATATTTTTATCATATAACTTCAAAATTACTATTTAATCCAAAAACGGAATGGCAAGTGTCACATTTTCAGTCAACCAACTTTTTTAATCTTTAGGGCACTCTCCTTTAGGGATGGCAAAAAAAAAAACCGAAACCGATGGTGAAAACCGAAATTTTCGGGTTAGGTTCGGGGACATCTTATCGGGAACCGGGAGGGGGGGGAGGGGACAAATTCGGGGATTTTACCAAGGACGGGGGGCGGGGACGATGATCACGGACCCGATCCTATATGTGTATATATATTAATTTTAATTTATATACATACATATATATATATATATATCATTAAAAGAAAATAGTAACATTTAAATTTAAAAGACTTTTATCTACTTTACCTCAACAACCCAAATAAGGCTCACGAAAAGTTTAGGTTATTTGTCTAATCGTGAAATCGTGATGTTAGTTGTATGATGTTTGAATTTTTGTTTACTTTTATATTGTAATTGTTTCGATTATGTTTGATACATTTAAACTTACATCTTAAAAAAAAATTGTAATTTACTTTTAGTTGTGAAAATTAACATATTATAATTTTTATTAGATCGGTTCGGGTTTCGGATTCGGATTCGGTTATAACGAACGGTGAACGGGAAGAAGAGAATATTTACCCTTAACGAGTTCCCCAACGGGGATCGGGAACCAGATGGGGATCCCCGAAAAGATCCCTGACAGGGATCGGGACGGTTATGGGGACGGTTTTAGTTATTGGTTTCAGGGACGGGGATACCAATAACTAGCCCGAACCCGGCCCGTTGCCATTCCTACTCCCCTCCTTTTATATACCTAACCAACTTTTTCTAATATTTGTTTCATTTGATGATGCCATATGAATCGCTGGAAATATGTGAAGCATATATGGTTAACCCAATAGCGAATGTTTCGTAGGATTCCTTTATACATTTATATTGATATCAATTTTCAAGTAATCCCCCCTCCCTTTATATATTCAACTATATTTTCCAATATTTCTCCTTCTCATTTATATGGGATAACCAAATTCAACCGCAGTTAAATAATACTAAATTCACATCCGCCACGTTGATGCCTTATAGCCTTCATTTATAGATTTATATTTTCTCTTACTTATCAATATGGGATAACCAAAAACGACAATTCATGATGTAAATTCGTATTAAGGTGCCGTTTACCAAACGTTTACCCGGGTTAACGCTTACCAAGTCAATTTACTTTACCGAATGAATATGACAAAGACTAAGGGGTCGTTTACTAAACGCTTACTCGATAGGTGTTTACTGGGCAATTTTCCTCACTGGACGAATATGGCAAGACCCAAGAATCTTACCTGGTAAGAGCGATTATAAAGATAGAGAATCTTACCCGGTAAGTGAGGATGACGACTCTTACCCGAGTAAGCGCTTACCATATATATTGTTGCACACGATACCATTTTGATATACTACAATCTTACCTATAAATTAATTATAGTGTTGACTTCTAACGGTAAGCATTTAGGTAAACAACCCCTAAGAATCTTACTCGGTAAGAGCGAAAGCAAGAATCGATAGTCTTACCCGGTAAGTGAGGACAAGGACTCTTACCATGGTTAGCGTTTACCGGGATAAATTGTTGCATACGATGCGTTTTAGGGAATAAAATCTTGTCCGATAAGTAAGCGATAGTGTTGAATTTTACCAGTAAGTACTTACCAGGTAAGTGTTTAGATAAACGGCCCCTAAGTTAAGATAAAATTCAATTGATAACTGACAACTAATTAGATGTAATATAAAACAGTAAATTTATTGGGTCGTTTAAATGTAAATTATATATTTTCATTGATATTGTTCGTTGTAACTAAGAGAATTTCATGCATTTTCTTTTTCTTTTTGTTACAAAATGATGTTTTGACATTAAAGTTGAAAATTGTATAAAAATGGTTAGTTGCAACGCAAGTATATGTGCAATATTAACTGTTATGATGAGTGTACACAAAATTAGTCTTTCCAATTTTGTATTTTAGCTTATAATGCTTGTTTTACGACTTAATTATTAACAAATTTTGAAATAAGTCGCACATAAAAAATTACAATTAACAACCATATGAATGTACTTAATTGAAGAGAAAAACCATTTCATACATAAAAAAACAATATATTATGTAATTATAAATTCATGTCCATCAAGTGATGAAATGTGCAGTTAAAATGAGAAATGCTATATAGTTTCTTCATTACTGTGTGAGATAATACATCAAACTTTGTTGGAGTAAAGTAAAAAAAAAACCCTAAGGAGATATCTATCCTAGTTACTTGATAGATGGAGAGATGAATAATGAGATGGAAAGCGTTTACCAAATCATATTATCTTATTTAATGAATATAATAAAAGTCAAGAATCTTACCCAATAAGAGCAAGACAAAAACCAAGAGTCTTACCCACCAAATCATATTATCTTATTTAATGAATATAATAAAGGTCAAGAATCTTACCCAATAAGAGCAAGACAAAAACCAAGAGTCTTACCCGGTAAGTGAGGGCGATGACTCTTACCACGGTAAGCGCTTATTAGGTAAATTGTTGCATACGATGTCGTTTTGATGGACTAAATCTTACCCAATAAGTAAATAATAATGTTAAATTTTACAGATAAACATTTACCGAGTAAGTATTTGGTAAACGGTCCCTAAGTCTTATGAAAAGCACAATTTAGAGGGTGAGGATGAGACTAAAAATAATTAAGAGTCCAGATCCTTTGTTACAGATCTCACCTTAATTCCTATTCTCACATGATAATTCGTCTGATATAGGAATTGTCCACAAATATAAACGTCGGACCATGAATAGGGTTTCTTGTATTTTCAACTTTCGAATATTTTCTTAAATGCTCGTGTCATTTGCATGGAGCATATATTCAAGGGATAACACCAAACATGGATAACACCAAATCTTACACGAGAACGTAAGATTTCGAATATATTCTTTTTTTATTTTCTTCAATTGAGTAAAAAATTTGATATTTGATTTAAGATTTGGTGTCTCCATTGGAAATAGTCTTAAAAAAAACAAATCAAACAAGAGCAGACCAGACCAGACCAAACGAATCCAGTATATCTAATACAGGCGTAGCAACAAACATAGAGTTTGAGAGAAATAGAATGTAGGCATATGCCTTGGTAGATGAGAGAAGTTTCCGAAAAAAGCAAATCCATCGACTAAATTATCTCTAAGAACCCTAATAAACCAACTTTGCTATTGCGAAACATAGTACCAATTACAAGCATGCATCAACGAACATAACTTGGTTGACAATTTTATGTTATCATCGTCATACAAATAATACTCATTTCAAAACGCAAAACGATCCATCATAATTTTTAAAAAAGATTATTATGCATAGGTAATAGATCAACAATTGTCTGTCAACCCAAATAAAAGAGTATGTAACACAACCTAAATTGTGACAAACAAAAATCTTCCATTTCGTTCATGTCTGCAATCAAAATAGATATAAAGTCATAGATACGACACTAAATCATTATCGTAGCAATAGCAGTAACAATAATCGGTCTTGTTTTACTTTAAATACCCAAAATGTTTGAATTAGCCGATACAAACCATCAAAAACGAATAATTACCAATTCAAGCTTCAGGTCGACATATTTTATGACTTAGAACACCCCATTTCATCATGTTCGTCTTTAACAAGTCCAGGTTGTTTTTGTCTCATAATACTTTTCACACTTTTGGCTCTAGGATTCGGTCCGTCTTTTTGCATTCCTAACCTAATAGGAGGGAACAAGTTAAACCAAACGAACATACAATATCTCACTAGAAAGTAGAGTCTGAGGATCTGGCCGTCTGGATGTATAGAGACCTGTCCTTTACCCCTCCCATGAGGGCCCCCGCCTTGTGCAGAAGTATGAGAAAAGGAAATGAGAACCAAGACTAGTGACGGAAAGTTATCATACATAAAGGGGCAATGCATGGATCTAATTTATCTTCATTAATTCTCTTTCCAACACAAGAAGACATCAAAATGAAAATGTTAACCAAAAGGAATAACATCAGGGTTTTGAAAACTTATGCAAGTACTTGAACTAAGGAGTCAATAGGAGTTGTTAACCAAGTTAACTCCCCATAAGAGTTGCAATACATACAAAATGAGGGCACTAAGGAACTTAAACAAGGTTGGACAGGACTCGTCTCCCACACCACACTTGACTCAATTAAGACTCATGACAATCAATATGAAATAAAAATACTAGGTTATTTGACGAAAATAAATTATATAATTCATTGAAGCTAATACTTCATGTAACATCAAATAGCCTTGCATCATTAGCACAATTGTATATCGTGCTCGAGGATTGCTAACTGATGCTTCTAGTTTATGGAAGAGAGAGAGAAATAAAATATCATCACTACCCATTAAAATCTGTAATTTTTACTTCATGAAATTGAGATTACCTCATAAAACAGGCCAGATAAATTGTAGAAAGTCATGATGCAAAACATCAATTCCGCCTGCACCGTGCAAATATTGATCACAACTTGGTAGAGGTTAGTACAACACACACAAGACTTCAGGTGAAAGCAGACTCTCCACATAGATTGCAGCATCCCCAAACCATTTCAGATCATGTGCCACTGTGACATGCCTAAAGGTCTTCTTCTTGACATTATAGACGACAAACGATTGTAGATCAATCTCCAGAAGAATTTCATCGTCATTTAGAGAACTCAAAGGCATCATATACGAAATGTTCTCAATCCCTGTATTAAGTGGAATTTTGATGAATTTTGTCCAAGAGTTGACCACCCCATATTCCTTCATCAACCATACATCAACATCTGTATAATACATATCATCACAGAGTGCAGAAAGGCATCCTCCTAAAACACCCGAAATGTAGTAGGGAAGGCTCCCTTCTTGAGGTGGTAGAGACAAGTCTCTAAATGTCTCTTCGCTTATGTTGAATGAAGCTATAACTCTGTTTTCATCATCATTGCTACTATGATGTGCTAACCAGTGAAGGGATCCGTTCAGAAAAGTGCCTACTGTATCTATAAAATCATAGTTATATGCCACAACTCCACTCACCCGAGAACCAGAACCTACACCACATACCTTAAATTTAATGTATTCAGAGTCACGAGCAAAGCGGGGAAATCTAACCACCCTCATGTCATTGGGGTTTGAGCCACAACCAAATCCATACACAAACTCAATCCGATTTGAACAATGAAGAACTTGTTGAGGTGACTGATATGGCTTGAAATGTCTTCTGGTTGACGGGTTGTAGATGATCATGTCTCTTGTGCCATCAATTAAACACACCAACCCATTGCAAGAACCCAAAATCTTGATCGACGTTCTTGGCTTCGGAAATGGACAATCAAGCTCTATTGATGCATTGATGTCGTCTAGTGATGCGTTATAGCTCAAGGACAGAAGAGGGGAAGTTGGAACAAGGATTTGATGGTGGCTCGATAAAGCTAGGACATTTTTCAGGTGTGATTTAACGAAATGGGTATCTGCAATTAAATCCCTCCAATGCTTTGATACACACCTGAATTGCAACAAGGACTTGACTGAGAGTCGAGAAAGGACGTCCCTTATGACCTCATCTGGCAACTCTGCATTTGGCATCTCATCCTCCGACATACTGAAGTTAGGCGTACCTAAAGGCACTGATCTCCCTTGGATTATAAACACAGCAACTACCAATTGCTTCAATGTGATTGAGAACCCTGCAAAGTAGCAAAAGGATTCATTATTAAATACAAAAGGTCTAGAGAGAGGGCATTTGATGGTTGATCAGCATTTGAAGGTGCATCCAGTGTATTCCAAATCCTTATCTAAGGATTACAAAATAAAAAGATGTCAAATAGGAGGGATTGCTCGATGGAATAAGAAGTGGAGACTAAACCTTGATATACCCTAGAACAATATCCTTTTGTTACCCCGAAATATATTGGCAACCGTAGATCATTGATTCAAATGAAACTTGGAATGGGTGCACTTGATGATATGAATTATTTGCAAAACATTAAGATGATGAATTGACCTTGGGTTGTTTAGAAAATATGGCTCAAGGAAACACATATGCAACACTTGAGCATAATTGGACACCAACTCCTCAGAAAATGGTAAACTCAACTCCATTAACAGATACTAAAGTTTTTTTCCATTTACATAGCTCAAAGTCTTGACCAAAATAATCCACTGACACAAATAGTTCATACGCCAAAATTGAGTTATTTGAGTCCTGGGGAATTGACTGTGTGAACTACTACTTTTCCAACACAAAATATTCATCCTAGTCACTATGGGCATATTTGGCCAATTGATACATCTAAAGGAAGTAAACTTATCCAAATGTAAACCATAAAAGTTTATCATAAAAATGAATACTCTTTTAGGGACATTTGTTTATGTATTCGACCTATCCTCCCAACCGGGCATGCCGGAAAAGGAATAACTTTGATCACCGTGAAAATACAAACTTGCGGTCAAGACCGATATTTGAAATAGCGGTTATAACGGTGGTATAGCGGTCAAAAAATAGCGGTTCATATAATATTTCTTATAATTATATATAATATGCCTACATAAACATATCATTTGCAAAATAGGAAAAGTGTTCATAAACGATCTAATCTCAAGCAATAGGTTCAGCATCTGAGTCAACATCATCTAATACGTTCACGTCTTCGTTTAGGCTAAAAACATAGGCTGAAAATAACGCCCAAAAAAAGAAAGACTGGAAATAAAGCCCAACTATCTAAAAACAGAGACTGAAAATAAAGCCCGAACCCCCCAAAAAGTAACGTTAATATCGAATGCAATTGACCCTAAATAGCGGTCAAAATTGCGGTAAATTGCGCCAATAATTGCACTACCGCAATTTAAACCGCAATCTGACCACCGTTATTTTGCTAATGTCCGCTATCCAAGATATCGCCGCAATGCTATTGCGTCGCAATTAACAGCATAGTTTGGAGGGTGGATAAATGGAACCGTGAAACCATAATACAAGCTTGAATGCAAAATTTCATCAAGCAAGAGTAAACATTCAAAACAACATCTTCCAATCGACAACTTTATGTCCAAATCAATTCATAGTCAAGAACTTCTGTTATGGTGCTGTAGTATGTCATCAGAAACATTGTCCTTATCATCTTCTCCTAAGTGAGAATAACATCGCATTATGCTATTTGGGATCAAAGAAAGGTTTTTCACAATTAGAGTCCCCTTTCTAATATTTGCGTTGATTAGGGATCCAAACCATGATCGATGAATTTATGGAACAATAATCTATTACCAAAGAAAATCCCCAATTTCTAAGTAATCATGGCAACGAAAGTCGTACAGTCATCAAAGGTTCCTAAAATTTAACACAGATTCATTCATAAACTACCTCATACGCACAATCAATCGCACAAATGCACCCGTATATATAATTAATCCATAGAATAAAACTGAAAGAGCAAATTCAGAGAAAAATCAAATAAAGTTAGGGTTTAGATAGAATATAAACATAGAAATCGATTCGAGGAGGAGAAGGCAAACCATGAAATGTTGTATCAGGAAGATTTTGGTAATGGCGATGATCGATGGTGCAACTTAGCGATAAAAGGGACGCATTGTAGATTGAACGATGTCACTCCCCACTCGACTGCAACTATTAATTAAATTTCTTATGTTCATTTAGAATTTTAAAATATTAATATATTAAATATCATTAAATAATTTAAAAAATATTATTAAAATAACATAATCTATATATAGAGAGAGAGTTTGTTTCAAATGCAATACATCACATTTGTACAACCAATGCAATACAATAAATTGAGATGTTTATGAAAATGATAAGAGTTTATTTATTATGATTTGAATATTTATGGAAGATAAATAGAACTCATTAATTATGATCAATATTTTATATTAGGAAATAATCAAAACTTCTATAAAATCATATATTCATCAAATTAAATGGACCGTTGAGATTGGGTTGTATTGGTTGTACAAATGTAAAGAGTTGTATAATAATCCACCTATCTCTCTTTCTCTCTCTCTCTCTCTCTATATATATATATATATATATATATATATCTATACTACATATATAAGCATTTAGGTCATTATCTTAAATACAAGTTCTTAAGCATAAGTTGCAACCATTTTATGCAAGATTTTCAAAAAACTCTTAATTACAACTCATCAAGCATGTGGTACAAGTTTTTTATGCATTGAGTTTATTAGTCATGGTCAAACCTTGCTTTTTCTCTTCTCTTTTGTTCTTCTTCCTTTTCCAGCTTCCTTTCCTCCTGATCATGAATCCTCAGGTGCGCCAAAACAAAATTGGTAAAGTCAGACCTTTGCTTTCTTCAATTGCTCCAACCTTTGCACATTCTAGCCCTAATTTCAGTTGTCTCGCATCCCTTGAACAAGAAGAACACCACATATTGCATCTGTCTTCGTCCCTCTCTCTCCCGTGCTCTCTGTTAAAAAATATGAATATTGCAATCTTGACTAACTTGACTTGTTTGTCCTCTGTTTGTTATTGTGTTAACAGAACAGGGTAGATATTGTCTTTTTAATAAAGTGTTGCTGGTTGATAAAGAGAAGGGTCGCGCCTCACTTTTGGAGAAAGATCAGGGTTAGCGGAGCATTTAATTTCAAAGATGGAGGGGCAAAGTTGGCTTATAAAGAAATGTATATAAAAAGCCTAAAAGCTGATTTTTATCTTATTCTTTATCATTTTTTCTCTACTTCACCTATTGCTTCATTATCTTTTCTCTTTAGAGATAGTTGCAGCTATTCATGCTTTCTGTTTTTCATCTATTCAATATAGGTAGATATTTTTCATATTATGTAATCTGTATTTTCTTTTATTTCATTGTAATAAATAAATATCAGAGATATTTTTGATTTCAACATGGTATCAAGAGCTTCAGGTACGTCTCCTTCCTTTATCGATTTACTGTTTTTCGATATATGATTGGAGATTATTTTTGGAATACGGTGTGTTGTACGCCTGTCCAGATTACTCCATGATATATGTTGTCGATCTCTTGTTTCTTTCCTATGAAATGATCGATTGGGTTCTGAACCTTATAGATCTTTAGATCTTGACAGGTCCACTTTTTCGAGATCTTGTTTTTTTTTATGATTCATCATATATGCTGCATGTTATATTCATATGCTTTATTTTCAGATATGCGTCCTATACTTTCAGGATCTGTTTAAGATCTGTGTCCTTTTCTTATTCCAGATCTGTTTTTTGGTTACTATGAATACATGTCTTCATTACTATAAAATCGACTGCTATATGTTCATGCATTTTTTTCTCAGATCTGTGTCCTATATCTCCAAATCTACATAGATCTGTGTCCTTATTTTTTTCTCCAGATCTGTTCTTGCATATTGTGAAATCGTTTTTTTCTTATGTGCTCCACATATTGTGAAATCGGTTTTTTATATGCTCCACCGCCAAGATCTGAGTTTATGTTATATCCAGATCTATGTTTGATATAGTGAATATATTCCTCTTTTTTAAGAAATCTCTCTTTAAAATGCATGATTGTTTAGAGATCTGTATCATAGATCTCATTTTGATCAGACACCTTTGTACCTAATGATCGATCGAGTTGTACCATTTTTATGGTCCTCCTTCGTGATGTTTGTCTTTAGTTGGTTTCATACTGTTTATGTGACTGTGTACTCTGACTATGTTATGTTTTGTCGAGATCTGTGTCCTTCCAGATCTGGCACTTGGTTCATTTAATATCTTTTGTTTGTTTAGGTGGTTCTGGATCTGTTTCGCCATATCTTCCTTTGTGTGTTCCTCTTTGGTATTTTCTGTTTAACGAAAGTTAAACCTCTGCTTTGGCTGTAGCTTTTGTTCTCTTTACAGGTGGTTTTGTTTTTATTGGTTTGCTCTCTTTTAACGTTGTTAAAGGAGTTGGTGGTAAGGCTGTCTGTGTTCTGTTTGCCTGTGTTTCCTTTCTTTTCACATATATAATATCTTGTTAAGGTTCTGATTTGTTGGCTTGACMTAGCACGTTATCAGTGTTTTAGGAATCCTGCCTTTAAGCATTTCAGTTCCTTTGTGTGTTTTTTGTTGTTTGCTATGGCATCTTCACAAAGTGAACCTGGGAAAACTATAGACTCCAAAGTCACAAAATTAGACTTTGGAGACCCGCTATATTTACATCCCAGTGACACTAGTGGAGTTTCCATTTTGTCCTTTAAATTGAGTGGGACWGAGAATTATAAGGTTTGGTCTTGTGCGATGATGTTGGCTTTAAATACCAAAAATAAAACTGGTTTTATTGATGGCACATGTCCGCRTCCTATAAATGATCCTATCCTTGAGAGGCAATGGGATTGTTGTAACTCCGTCGTTCTTTCGTGGATTTTAAGCTCTATGACCAAGGATTTATTCCTTGGTCAGGTTTTTTCTAAGGTGTCCTCCCAAGTCTGGGAGGAATTAAAAGAAACTTTTGATAAAGTAGACGGATCTGTGACCTTCAATCTTTACCAGAAAATTAATTCTATAAGCCAAAATAATATGTATGTTTCTGACTATTATCACAAGCTAAATTCTCTTTGGAAACAGTTCGATGCTTTAGTAAAACTTCCCTCATGCTCTTGCAAGGCCTCACATGATTTTTTAGAACACAGTCAACTTATTAAACTCATGCAGTTCCTTATGGGACTTGATGACATTTACCAACCAATTAGAAGCAATATTTTAACTCGTGATCCTCTTCCCTCTGTTAAAACTGCTTTTTCGCTTGTCTCYAGGGAAGAATCACATAGAGGTATAAATGTCAGTCAAAACCGTGTTAAAACCCAAAATTCTGCTTTTTTGGCTAAAAGTTTTGAAAATAGACGAAAACCTGGGAAAATTTCTATGAATCTTGTTTGTAAGCATTATGGTAACACAGGTCATACTATTGAACGATGTTTCAAGCTCATCGGTTTTCCTAAAGACTTTCAAAATCAAAATTGTCCCAGACCCCAAAATCAAAATCAAAGTTTTAAACCTCAAGGTCCTAACTTCAGACCCACGGCTGGAAATGTAACTTCATTAGATTCTGTTTCTTCTAAACCATCCTTTACCTTTTMAGAAGAACAGGTTGCCAAAATATTGAGTTTGATTGATCAAAAACCCATCCCTGATGAAGCTACTGCCAATATGGCWGGTATGTTTCAAAATCCTCATTCTGGTTGGATAATAGATTCAGGAGCTAATCAGCACATGACATCTAATTCTTTAAATTTGGAAAATGTTGTTGATGTTACTGATTTGAACCTTAGAGTGACTCATCCGAATGGGACTAAAGCAAAGATAAATAAAATTGGCAATCTAAAACTTTCCAGTGATGTTACTCTTTTTGATGTCCTTGTTGTCCTAGAGTTTAATGTCAATCTTTTGTCTGTTCATAAATTAGCTAGGGATAATAAGGTCTTTATAAGATTTGATGAATCAAAATGCTATGTTCAGGATTATCAACAAAAGAGTATTGTGGGGACTGGTAGTGAGGATGGCGGGCTTTATTTCTTTGATCAAAACACTAGTACTCATGTTCCTTCTAATAATTGTGGTATGGTTCACTTTGTATCTTCTCAATTATGGCACAGTCGCCTTGGTCACCCAGCTGATCAAGTGCTTCAAGTCTTGAAAGATAGACTTAAAGTCACCAGTGAGAACTGTGGGTCGTGTGAGGTTTGCCATAAGGCAAAACAAACACGGGAGAAATTTGGAACTAGTGTACATAAAACTAAGAGTCTTGGTGATCTTATACATATTGATGTTTGGGGTCCTTATCATGTGCAAACTAAAGAAGGGTACAAATTTTTCTTAATAATTGTAGATGATTTTACTAGAGCTGTTTGGGTTTATCTTTTGAAAGGAAAGCATGAAGTTAGTGAGTACATTGAAAATTTTTACAATCTCTTGAATACTCAGTTTGGCAAGTCTGTTAAAATTTGTAGGAGCGATAATGGAACCGAGTTTCTTAAT